GGTCGTGGTTTTCTCCCTACTTCTCCGGTGCCTCCTCCTCAGTCTTCTCTGTAAGACCCTATTCCAGGGCCCATCTTTTTAAACGATGGGGTTTCTTAATGCTCTATATAAAGACCTCATTTCTTCTCATTCTCTGTAGCTTCAATTGCCATCTATAGATTAACAATTCCCAAATCACCAGCCTAGACTTCTGTTTTTGAGCTTCAAATGCAAATATTCAATTGCCTATGGGCATCTCAAAGTCATTATGCCCAAAACTTAAATCAGCTTTACTCCTAAGCCTGTGATTTTGCTTCCTTCTGTCATGGCGAATGGCACCCATTTAAGCCAGAAGCCCAGAAGTTAGCCTGGGCTCTTCCTTATTTTTCACTCCTTCTCCCCCTGCCCAGTCACCAGTTCCTACAGAGTCTGCTTCTTAAATGTCCCCTGAATGCTTCCACTTATGGCCATACCCAATGCTATCTTCCTAGATCAGGCCACCACCACCTCTCACCAAGATGGCTGACCAATCTCCTACCTGGTCACCTTGTGTCTAGTCTTGACCTCTTTCATCAAGTCTCCACTCTTTTGCAAAAGAGACTGTTCTAAGACAACATTTGATCACATTAATTCTCCTGCTTAAAACTCTTCATCACCTTCTAGTCCTCAAGAGTACAAATTCCTTAATCTGGCTTTATGACTTCACCCTTTAGCCTTATGTTCCTTTTCTACCCCACTCACAGTATACACTCCAGCCACCGATACTTCTTTCAGTTACTCAGCCCCAGGCAAGCCTTCACAATCTCTCCTGCCTCCACACCTTCGTATATGTGCCTATTGCCCTAGGTCAGGGGTCGGCAAACTTTTGAGATGGAAGAGCCACCTGGGGTCAGCAAACTGTGGCTCTCAAACTGTGGCTCTGAAGTAAAATTGAAAATGAAAATAAAACTATCATAGTTTTACTTATAAAATTTTTAAAGGATAGTATTCACATAACGGTGATTATGTAAAAACATATTTATGGCTCTCGAATAAATTTTAAATTGTTGTGAGGAACAGGATTGGCTCTTCCAGGGGTTGGCAAACTTTTGAGATGGAACGTACCCAAAGAGCCTCATAGGGCTTGCGAGCCGCAGTTTGCCGACCTCTGATCTAGAGCATTCTTTCCTCTCCCCTCTTTTTCTTGATAATTTTTTCTCATTCTTGAGATCTCATGTTTCTGTGGGAAGCCTTCCAAGATATTTCTCCAGCATCATTTCTTCATGCTCCCATAGGATCCAATATTCCCCCATNACAAGGGCTAGAAAGAACTGTAGAAAAATAAACACTGATTTGAGAGGTAGAAATCTTTACTTTCAACTGCTATTACTGTTATAATGATATCGGCCTGGAATATCACAGGCATTTAATAAGTATTTTTTGAAAGAAGGAAAATATGAATGAAGAAAAATTCACTCACCATTCTCAGGCCTTGAGTGTGTATGTGTGTGTATGAAGGAAATACGAGAGAAATCAACATCATTCCATTGGGAAATTTATTTCTAAAGTTTTTGGGATCTTTTGTTGAACAACTCTGACTTTAAAAGCATGCACACTTCCGGACATTAATCTCCCATTTGTAATCAATAGCTACCACCAAAATATTATCCTCCCCAAGCTCATGGCAGATGATGGAAGCTCTGCTGCTTTAGATTCTGTTCATAGATTTAAAAATTACAGTAAGAATGTCCTTGGGATGGGTAACACATTAAGTTTTACCATTCATTTAAGCATTCTAATGGATGAGTTTATTAGATCCTTTTTTGAAAGCTACTTCATTCCTTCCTCAATCTTCATTAACCTTTCATAAGGTTCTTGGGAGAGCAATGAAAATAATTTTCTCAGTTTTGCCCAAGGCCAGCTTAATAAAGCAATAAAGTAATAATTAAGTATTAAATTACAGATAGATTTTTGTTTAAAAAATATAGATAGTATGCATGTTTATATGAAAGTTTATCTTGACTTTTAAGAGATTACAGCAGAAAAACGGTGGCTATGTTGTAGCTAATTCTTCAATGTTAGATATTACCCTTTGATAAAGATAACAACTAATTAATTTAAATCCACCTTTTAGAGAGAGAAATCTGTATGTTATAAAGTGTGACATATTAAAAGGATCCAAGGAACTCATGAAAGAGATAATAGGAGAAAAATACAATTTTCATAAAATACAGACATACCTGTCTTTCATTAATTGATAGAGGTTTTCTTTCATATATTCAAATATAAAATAAAGATGGTCATTTTCTCTGATAACTTCTTTCAGTTTAATCACGTTGGCATG